GCACGTTCTCAAAATAAAACAAGGGGTTAAACGTTTCGTGAAAGAACACGCAGAAACCTGCCGTTCGATATTTTATGACGTTGTCGAACGAAATTCTCGGACGATGTCGCGTTCTAGTCGTCCTGAAATACGTGATATTCGTGGAATTTAATTACTTATTGAAGGAAGATCGATGACCCAAATGAATTGCAGGGATTAATCAATTAACAAACCGAAATTCCTCGCTCGATATTTCCCAGAAACGTCGCTGAAGTTTAACATCCACTTGAGACACGAATCGTTAATACCGAGGATATTTAGCACGCAGCTCCTCAGATGTATAAACAAAAACGAAGAGAAATAATCTCACGACAACGGTTAACGACAACGGGAATAAATTAAGAAGGACGCGATAATGACTGCGTTAGTGATTTCTCTGTCACGCAAAGTCTCGCTAGAATTATTAGACACACACGTGTTCGAGAGCGTATGAACACATTTGAAGAAAAATGAACAGATCAAACCAGAAGCATAAAATTATTATTAAAAAAAAAAAAAAAAAAAAAAAACACATCGCTGTAACTAGCGTACACGCGAAAGTGTAATTAGTAACGGGACTTACAAATTCATATTTTTAATTGAAGAAGATAAAACGGCGGTTGAAAATCTTTTTACGTGGCAAATTATTCACAGCGGTCGACAATTTTTTCATACTGCGCGCATTCCACGTATATTGTGAGATTGGACACTTTAAAATTCGTTATGAATGTATGAGAATCCGCAGTCCACTAGCGACAGACAAGAAATGGTATTACATTTTTTTCGTTCATTGAGATTTCCCCGCGTTTTTATAACTTTAGAAATTTCAACCTCGTGAATTCAGAGTGAACTCAATTGTACTCGCAATCAGGCTGATGGTAAAATTATTGTCGCGATATGCAGGCATTGAATTCAACCTAGACGATTATATTTATTAAGGAGCAACCAATAATTTATCGCAATATTGAAAAGTTCAATTTTTTTACATTTCTTAAAACTGTAGGATTTAGATCGGAGACATAATGATGAAAGAGCGTTAAGCAAATCCTTCAAATTTCTATTTATAGCCGCAATACGAAAAAAAAAAAAAATAAAACAATATAAATTGATTGAAAAGAACTGTAAACAAAATTTTGCATTAATGCAGTATTTAATCTATTGGTCCTTAATGGATTAAAATGATGTTATATATGCTTGCATGTTATGTACGTTTCTTTCAAAGTTGAAAAAATATATGTACATACAATGAACATACAATATCAATTTCATATAATATAAATATAAACATAAAATATGAATTGCATTTCCTCAATTTGCCCGATTAAATGCAATCTCGATAGTTGAATTCACATTCGAATGAAAATTCTATTATAAATATAGAAAATCATTGAATTTTGGTTAAATAAATTTCAATTGTATGAGTTTTCTTTTTCAACCAAACGTTGCTAGTAGATATAGATAAAAATAAGAAAAAATGTCATATAAATATATGTTATTAAGAGTATTGTTGAAACATTATAACGATAAAAAACGATACAGAACATGGGCAGTATTGAACGTGCATTAAATGTATCATAAAGGTATCACATTATTTCTATAATTTCAACTACAACTACAACTTCGTTAATCGTTCAATCTTATTTCTTTAGAATTTTATCTATACAAGGAATTTTCAAAGATAAATATCAAGCAAATATTAAAACACAAGACAAACTAATCTGAAGAATTAATTATTCATTCGCTGAATTAAAACAGTATCAAAATTAAAGTTCAAAAAATAATAAATTCAACTTTCTACTGCCAATCTTATATTGTCAGCAAATAATGAATATGTCGAAATGTAGTTGTAATTCAAACTGGAAGAATAAGACCTGTACAAATTATTTGTTTCCCGGCAGGTTTATAGAATCGAAATTTTAGCGTAATTAAGAAAACAAAAACAAAAATTTGATCTCGGTAACTTGGTTAATATTAATTTCCCAGCGTATCGTCGATGCATAAACGTTGTTGCACCACTGGTTTATGCAGATGCTTCGACCTACGTACACGGCAACATTATTAATGCAAAAGCACTAGGTAGCATACGTCCGCCTTGAAACATAGTGCTTCGATGAAAATCGAATGACACACCCCCAGTGCTTCGGCCCACCGGAACTGACAAGATTCGCTGAACTTGCAAAAATTATGCACCCTTTTTACTCTTCTTTTTCTCATTCTCGACATATGGCTGATGAAATCGGTCATCTTAGCCACAATATTGTTCTCCATCGTCAGACTGAGGAACAATATAATATATTGTATTCTAATATTCTATGTATTATGAATATGTTACATTCTATATATAATATATATAATATATTGTATTCAAATATTCTATGTATTATGAATATGTTACATTTCTATATAACGTGTTTTATATTAGAATAACATATGTAACAATTCTATATGTTAGAATGTGTTACATTCTATATGTAACGTAGTTTATAAATTAGAATAACATATCTAACAATTCTATATATTGGAATGTGTTACATTCTATATGTAACGTAGTCTATAAATTAGAATAACATATCTAACATTTCTATATATTGGAATGTGTTACATTCTATATGCAACGTAGTCTATAAATTAGAATAACACATCTAACAATTCTATATGTTGGAATGTGTTACATTCTATATGTAACGTAGTCTATAAATTAGAATAACATATCTAACATTTCTATATATTGGAATGTGTTACATTCTATATGCAACGTAGTCTATAAATTAGAATAACACATCTAACAATTCTATATGTTGGAATGTGTTACATTCTATATGTAACGTAGTCTATAAATTAAGATATCTAACAATTCTACATATAACATTCTATATATAACATATTCTATAAATTAGAATAACATATGTAACATATTTTTAAATTGCAGTTTAAATTACATGTTACATGTAAATAATTTACATATGTAACAAAAATTAATTGAAACTTTTTGATCCGCTATTTCAATATTTATCCACGAATTTCGACGAATAATTTATTGTCACGACACTTTGAAATGCAGAAAAAATAAAAATCTATCTCTCTAATCGACTCGGTTTCAAATCGTAAAATTTCAAATCGATTCATTAAAAGATGTATCTCAAGCAGAATTTTTCGTACGCAAGATACGAATGTATGTAATTCATTTATTGGCGTGCGATAGTGAAAGAACAAGTGTTCTTGGAAATTTTCGATTTCGATGCCGTTGATAAATCGCGAGGCAGAGGTATGTGACCCGTTGTTACCTCTAAGGCCTGTTGTTACATCTAAAACCATTCCATTGTAAATACATGTACTCAAATCCAGCGTGTGACACGTAATCCGTGATCTTAATACCCGAACAGACTTATCTTAACAGCGTAGACCTAACTAGGTTGCCAAAGTAAATGCAACGGAGCAGTTCTGACTAATCTGAGATCGCGAATCCAGTTCACCGGCAGGCGAATTCAATAAAAAAAAAAAAAAAAAAAAAAAAAAAGAGCAGGGAAATAGTAGGCCAGCTTTTTGCGTGCAAGGTGGAATAATAAAACGAATTTCACGATTCCGTTTCGCGTTCTTCTAAACGCCACTTGCTGTCATCCTTTCTAGATGGAAACGCGAGAAAGGGGAACGCGTAAAATTATCCATGGAAGTGTAATACCACCGTCAAGAGAATTCCATTCTCGATCGTAATACAATATCCTTCCTCTTCAAACGAGCCAATGCAAAGCGAGAACGGCGAATTTACAACGAAAATTCCATTTGCCCCCCTAGCTTCGGTAATGTTTGCATTTAAATTCAAACGTAATTCAATACCTCAGTGCCTGTGCAATTAGTGATTAAAATTCTTCTAACAGGATCGTTCGAAGGAGGGGACAAAAAATGAAAACCTTCTCCATCATCGTAATACGAATCAGGCGGGCGCAAAACGTCGAACGAGATCGTCTTCGTCACGAGAGACGCGACGCACGCAATAACATTCAGCTGACGTAGAATCGGTCCTGTTACGTCGTACGTACGGATAGATCCGCCTCGTAATTATCGTTTCCCTCGACGATTTCATGGCTGACAGTTGTAACGAAAGAATTAACCTCGAGCACCGCACAACCGAGACAGGGCAATTACGTTCTCGACGAACCGATCCAGCCGCCAGAAATTAAATCGACCACCAGAGAATTCCAGTGGCAACATTAATGCGGAAAGTGTTTCCGGTTATGCAACGATCGCTATCGATACAGAGATTAAACCGGTCTAGTGTACCTCGACCGACTACGTTAATTACACAATGTGTAATCTGTTTGAATTATGCCAGTGGATAACTCTGTTATTCGTGTAAATTGCGATCGATACTAAAAAAATATTATAAATATACATGAGACGTTCATTCATTCAAATTTTGGACAAATATTCAATTGCTTTCCTCTTTTTCTTTCTTTTTTCTTTGCTAAATATGTTAGATAAATATATATTAAATAAATATATTATTCTTTCCATCATATTGCTTATTTGTATTTTTTTAAATAATATTTATATTTATTTTTTTAAATAATATTTATATTTATTTTTGATAATATTTATAATAGTATATTTATTTTTGATAATATTTATAATAGTATATTTATTTTTGATAATATTTATAATAGTATATTTATTTTTGATAATATTTATATTATAATATTTGTGATAATATTTATAATGTTATAATATTTTTTAGAATATTTATTTTTTTCTTACTTGCAAGTTTATAGTTTCTCATTTGCCGATTTTTATCGCATTCGTAGGAAGTTTAAAGAATACACAATATACGAAGAAATATATAAAATATCAAAGAGAGAAACAGAGCTTCTTATAATATTTAGTATGTGAAAAGTACAATTTTCAATCAAATTCTATTTTTTTAATTAAAATGCTTGAAAAAAAAAAAAAAATGAATTTCCGCAGTAAAAATTCACAGTAAATATCTCATCTCACTTTAGGTGTATCTCTGTAAACAATTTAACCTTCATTTTTCCAACCGAATTTGTCCTTTGGCGTTAAACTGACACAATGTTAAAAAATTAATATCTACAATGAAAAAAATATAATATTTATATTTGCAAATTGTTTGATTGCCAATAAATAGACTAAATTTTTATATTCAACTGCAAGGAAAATTTCATACAAATCCTACATTTGTCTAACGTTACGATCGTTTGTTCCGAAACTATAAATGCCTATACGCCTCGTCGATATTGAATGTATAATTATACTATAATATAATAATAATTAAGAGATAATATATAAATATTATTTGCAACTGTGGCGTCAAATTTTTATCAAGATGCGGAAAGTATGTGAAAGTAATAGTTATATGTTAGAAAATATTAAAGATACGTATTATACGATATATTACATGTTGGAAGCACTTATACGTATCTACATTACATAGAATACGACATTTTACAAGAAAGATGTGTCAAATTGACACAAGTGACGAACATGGGTTAATTATACTCCGATCTCTACAAAGAATCTATCTCCGTTAACAAAACACAAAATATATACATACAAAATCTCAGTTTCAACTGACTGACATAAAATACGTACGCGACGTAAGAGAGTTCAATGAAAATGTCACAGTGAATTCGGCGTATAAATACGAAATTTACACATGAATAACGACATCGCGAATTTCCAGCCAACGATAATGATTAACTTCATCGTACGAAACCAAGGACGAAAAGAAACGAAAGGTTTCACCGAGCTGAAACTTAACCTGGATCGGACATAATCTAGATCTGACCTAAACTTCGGCCGGTTCGGAGTCGAACAACGTGCACGAAATCTAAACTTGTCCTTATCTGGCGTAATAACGTTGCTCCGTTCAATGATAAAAGAGGCTGGAACAAGTTATTAATAATCGGGCGTGCTTAATGCACCGAGTTATCTTGTAATTTGATTAATTAAAACTTTCCTGACTAGTCGATAACGAAGGGGTGGAAAGGTGGGGAGAGAGGAGGGGGGGGGGGGGGAACTGGTAATTAACGAAGTCCGCTTTTATTCAGTATCGTGATGTTACGTTATATGATAACAAGTCCAGAGAGAGAAATCGAGAGAGAGAGAGAGAGAGAGAGAAGAAAAAAGAGTGAACATAAATCATTCTCCGACAAACAAATTGCTCAACGGAGCTAATTTGGCAAGATCAAAGAGAACAGAGATCTCTCTCGCACAACCGTGAAAGACTGCGAAAAAAAGAAATGGCTCGCGAATTTTAATAAACCTCTCCACAAAGCGCGATCGCTGGCCCCCATCCTTTCGAACTGTGTGAAATCTAAACAACGAAACGAAACGCAAACGAGAGTTTTACTTCCTCTCTGCTCACTTCCCTCGTAATTGCGCTCCGCGTTTTCGGGACGTCTCTACAGAGAGTTGGTAGGACTCTCAAAATCCAATGTTATTCGAGCTTTCCTTTCGACAGGAATTGCACGTTCGACACTCACGGGCAGGCGGAATTTGCATTTCTCGTTTCGAAGGTCTCGGGTCGGCTCTATCGGGGAGCAACGAGAAAGAGGAGTGGAAGAGTTGAAGTGGAATGAAAACGCTTCAATTTGGTCAGCAGATGTTTGGTCAACTGATGAATGGGTAAAGTTAACTTCGTGTACCAACGATGTTAACACGGTACTACACGACAGACGTTTGGTCAACAATAGCGGAGAGAGAGAGAGAGAGAGAGAGAGAGAGAGAGAGAGAGAACGATCAGCAGTTCGCTTCTTCATTTTCGCTGGAAGAAACTCTTCAAAAGCCGTACTTTGACTGACCTAGAGCTACGAGGACGATCAACATCGTTCAAACGAGAAAGCAATTTACCTTCTCGTTTATTGTAGAATATATTCCGTGGTATTATCCATCGAACCTGCACGCACGCTATTACACGTGCATGTAACAATTTCCGCGTGACGGAATTTATTACTTGGGCGTGTTATTTGCCACGTTTTCTTCGTGCTCTTTACAAAGATTCTCAATGGGAAAAGAGTTCGATCGATACTTCTCCAATCTGGCGAGCGAGAACGATAACAAAGGACAGATCACTAAAGACAACAACTTGAAGATTTTCAGATTAGATGGAATTGCTTTAGAATCGTCTAGGGTCTCTCGAGGTAGAACAGATTCTGTCCCCTTTGAAATAAAACGGAGATTGTACAAAATTTCTCACAACGGGGAAGTTGTCCCCGAATGTCGAGAGAAGAACGAACGTTTACTTACTCCCTTGCGAAAGTTCCATTATCGATCAGGCGATAGAAAGAAAAGAGAAAGTGCTTCGAACGCAAAAAAGAAAAAGAATATAGATACAGTGGAATTATATATTTAATTCACGACGTGTACGCCGCACGAAAAACGTATGAAAGCGTCGTTTGAAAGGCACGATGCTTTGAGAAAATGATATTGAGATAAGATTTTAGTTATTGCGGCCATGGCGTGGTGTGTGGTCACGCAACGTTTACATTTGTTTGCTTTTTGCCGTGCTCGATGCGAGTTGTTCAGAGTGTGGAACGCGATATTTTCCTGAAAATGAAAAGCACCGAGACCCGCGTTAAACCGCGAAGGATTCGTTCGTTCGCCGAGCCATTCCCTCAGTTGCGAGTCTCTCTGTTATTGTTAACTGCACACGAAAATTCGTTTTGTCTTTGCGAGTGCTGCGCTCTCATTTAACGTCGCAGCAGCTTTCTATTTTTCATTTTCTAACACGTCGAAAGACATTACGCGAAAAGGACACACTTGACCGCTGCTAATTCCATTCGTCCTAATAGAAGATAAATTACTTGTTGGAACGATTCATTTTAAATTTCAGGTGGTGTTTAACAGAAACACCGTTATTCTCTTCAACGTCTGGTTGAAAATTATTGCCCTGCTTTTTAACGCCACCGCGCAAGGCGGATAAAATCACGCTGTATTTCTACAAAATGTAACAGTCGCAAAATGCGAGTCACGCTTCGTTAACGTGCATTAAAATCGTAGATTTTTCTAATCGCGATTCTACTAATGCACAGGTTAATTACACGCGAGAACTCGCTATTGTAACTGGAGACTAACAACTGTGCGAAAATAATCACATATTTTTTTTTTTTTTTTATAAAAGGAGGACAAAATTTAGAGAGAAAATTTAGAAAGAAAAAAAAAAAGAAAACGTGTAGATAAAGTGAGCGTCAGTTTTTTCTGTGAAAGCAGAAGTTCGTTAAATTCGTTTTAAAGTCTATCAAACTTTCTTAATCGGTCTGATTTAAGACTATCCCCGTTTCAATATTTTGATTTACCAATTAAACTGGCTGCAATTTATTGAAGCAGTCGGATGTTCGATCCACGGGGTACAAGGCAATTATCTAGATTAGTACCACGTTGCACGATCTGATGTGCAATTAATAACGATGTATCCCACTTCTGACCTTCCAGAATTGGATGGGATCGATACCATACAACGGCGAGACAACTCCATGCTGGTTTATGTCCCCTTCTGAATACCGTACTTGTACATTAAGCTGGACGGAACCAAGCCAATCAAATCAACCGATTTTCTAAACGATATTGCAATAATTAACGTGAATTTTATTTCCTTTTTATTCAATCTATATATCGATCGTACAGGAGAAAAATTTCACGAGTGCAACACGTTCTTGATAGTTTTAATGTTATTTTATAATTAAGTGAAAATGGAAATAACCTGTTGGATTCGAAGGTGCAAGTCTTTTGAAAATAACTGATGAATTGGTGAAACTTCATAGTGGCCAAAACTGTAATTGACAATTACCAGTCATTAATCTCTTTCGGAGTGACGCCACGCACGTCGAGAACTTTTTTTGTCCCAAAATTGCATTATTTCCTCAGTTTTAAGTATATATAAGTATAACCCAGACAAAACAAACAATAATAAATTTATTACTAATCAATAATTTCTATCAGTGATATCATACCGACGAGTTGAAAAAAGAAATCGACGAATTATTGTACACGGTTTGGTCACTCGTTATGGTCCGCGATCAGTGGTTAAGGGAGACAATATTTCGCAGATTTTAGAGCTGATGAAAAAATGCATGTTCAGCATCGGAATCGAGCATAAAGATAATTTGAACAACTTGGTTTGAATCTTGGAACCAAAATTTCATTGTAAAAAATATAACTTGTCATGTTTTTTTTTTATAACATCTAGCATATAAGTTCACGTTATCGTCAACGATACCCCTGTTTTCTTCCAATTTTACAAAAGTAAGAATATGATTCTCATATTTTGTTGCGTGGCTGTGAAAGATTTCCTAGATAACTTTCCGGGAGGGAAAAATACATGAAGCCAAAGCAGCAACAGTGCCTGTCCGGAGTATAGTTTACCGGCGCATCTTCGCTACGGACACTGTGGCCACTACGATCGATGAATAGTAATTCTTCAGCGCTGGAAATGCACTCCGGAATAGGAAAACAGGAGTTGGTTGAATCGTTCGCTCACTTTAAGAAACGCGTCGATACTTTATATGGTTTTTAAAATATCTCTACTGCCCAATGTATAGGGGCTTTATTCATTGAAGCATGTATTCGTATCCTGAGGCTATTTTACCTCAGTTGTATTGCCAGTTACATTGGCGAATGAAAAGGAATAAAGGAAAAGAGCCATGCACGAGAAACGACTTCAATCGAAATACCGAAACGTTTGTAAAACAGAATTCGAGCCTTCCTTAAACAACTATGTATAAAGAATCGAACACCTTGTTAATCCAAACATCTAAAAAAAGATGGTTTGACAAACGACTTTAGAAAAAAGGTATTTAACAATCGATTCCATAGTCCCGAAGGTTCCCAAGTTTCAAACCTTGCCAGTGTATTCTACAGGTAAACGTAAGATTAAAATGTTATGTAGTAAAAATTCCATAAATGTTGCGTTAAAAAATTTTAACAAAAATATAAAGTGCGACAAACACGGCCAATACGAATTAATTTCAACGATGGATCAATTGAGAAGAACCAATTTCCTGCTTTCCTACGTCATCAGACCTTACGCCTTCAAATTTCTATTTATGGAATAATATTCATTTAAAAAATATTAATTTACAATACAGAAATATTTACTATTTACACGAAAAAAATTGGTCACAAGAATTACAACAATTGCTGAGTGTGAAAAAATTTGATAAAGTGTATAAACGTATAAATATATATAACTTTATATTTCATATTTTTGTTATAACTTTTTAATGAAGCATTTAAGGACTTTTCGCTGCATGACATTTTCGTCAGTATTTTTACCTATAGAACATACTGGCAAAGTGTTCTATATGTTTGAACAGTAAACTTTGAAACACTCTATACTATATCCAAAATATGAGCTGTTGTACCTTCAATACTATTAAGGTTTTGTCATAATATACATATGGATAAACTATTTTTGTGCTACTTGGCATTAATAACTTGATTTAAGAGTTAGTGATTTAACTTGATTTAAAATTGCAGATACTCTCTTTTAATTTAGTAGTAATATCGTCTATGAGGGAAAGAAAGAAGTTGCAAAGTGTTATATTCAGAAACAAGGTTCTTTAACAGAATCTCTTTCTGCGATTCCGAGAAAGTCCTGAGAATCTCTTGTGAGCAGCGATTTACAATGCTGTATTCGCGTGTATATTTTTGGTCCACAAGTTGTACACAGGTTTCTATCTTGAATTTAAATTACTTCTTGGTTCATTTCTCCTGAACTAAACTCATTAGACAATTCAAGTTTATTTTCCTACTCTATGGTTTATGCCAATGCTTCTGTTGACAGCACTTGTACCAGCAAACGACTTCAAAGTTATTTAATTGTTCATCATGAATTAGATGACAGAGCTACACATTCTTAATTCAACAATTGCAATTCACTATTAGGAAATAGGCCATTGTTCTGGATATAGTCAAAAGTTTTACAATTTAGGAGTATACAAAAGCTCTAGAAAGAATTATTGATCCGAAGAACATTAAGTTTGAGTCCAGAAATTCTCAATAAAGATATAGCGTATAAACTTCCATGCAAAAATACATGTTCTAGAGATTCGTCCTCCAATATTTAAGGCCAGACGTATAATTTTACAAAGTGTATGTCCTATAATTATGCATCCAGTTGTTTTAGAGGGACTCTTCAATATTCGACCAGAATTGGTATGAACAATTCTGAATTGATATTCACACATTCCAAGTTTTCGGAGGCAACTCTTTATGCTGAAGATGTATCGGTACTACACTATAGTATTACAATTAAACTACGGCGGCATTAATTATTCTCTACGGAAAAACTTATTTGCTTTCTTTGTAAAGAAAAGAGACATATATCCAAATTTTGTAAAAACACAGATTCCTCTCTCTAGTACTCATTTAAAAATACTAGCAATACGGACATTAGCACATGAAGTTCATCACAAGATAAAGACTAAAAATTTCAACTTGACTATAATTTCAAATATGAAACCATCGCCTTCAACAGCTGATTTTTTAATAGAGTCTTCTTCTCTATCTCTAGTAATGTTGTCTCCTGCAGCTACGAAAAAAAGTATTTCTAACTAGTACTTCTTTTAGCATAGATTCTATTAACTATTTTATAAGGAACAGAAAAAGGAAGCCTCAATTAATACGAAAAAAAGTTATTAAAAAACTGAAAGTTTCTCAAAAATAACTTCTAAATTGAGAATATCCTTTCAGTTTCATGCGGCTAAGAATTCTTCACAATCGCAAGCATCCACTCGACTTTGAGTATTATGGAATTTCTTTTCTTCACTTATGATGATTCAAGAATTTTAGAATCTAGTTTTTTTTACAAAAAATATCCCTGGTTTTATCTGCTTCAGATATTAGACATAAAGAGGCAATTTTTGAAACGCATTGGTAGAACTGCCAAGAGACTCCAAGTTCAATGGAAGTCACAAAACTTAATTTGTCGTCTTTTTCTATGTTTTTCTTCATATTATCAAATAATACTTTGTATATCAGATTGATTAATATCCTACTTTATATTTCAATAGAAATTTTGCTCGAGATCTTAAATTAATAATAAATTTGTAACAATAATTTCCAGCTACTATTGATTGATAGGCGTTGATTAATAAGCTGAGTTAATATTCATGTTTGCGTATATAATACTTACATTTAGTAGTAATATGTGTATTATATATGTACGTTACACGTATATTACATGTATGATGTTAACTTTGCAGATTTTTACCTCTCTGCATTATAAAAATAAATCTCTTATGAGATTTAAATAAATAAATAAGAAAGAGCTCACGTTCTCTCTGTTAAATATCCGGTTCATCTAATTAAATCCACGTCAAGAAATTATTTCTTTCTACAGTAGACTTCCATTTACACGTCCTCAATTATTATTTATTACTATTAAAAAATATGCATTAATTATTAATGAAAATATCTGCAGTGTTTAATATTTATACGTACATGAAAGATAAGTATAATATGTAGGATGTTTCAAACCTAAATATTCATTAAACTTTTTGTTACAGAGTTATAAATAAATATTGCGTGCATAAAATAGATAACGAAGTGAAGCGACTACAGATAAAGAACCAATTATAATATATATAATAAGTAAAATTCTCGGGGGCTTCATAATATTATTAATACTAATCAATAACTATCTATATCGATAGCTAGCGATATCAAGCTTGTATCTGAGCATAAAGGCAACAGATAATCATTTTGTTGTATTATTACATATTAACATGTACTTAAATACACAGTGATACAATAATATAGCCGACACAGTGATACAGTCAACTTCTGTATGCTGCCATGGAAAATGCTACTTATTTCGTGCAGGCAATATTTATTTATAATTGCATAACAAATGTTTGCTGACGAATTTTATATAAAATTTTTCTCTCCTTCCTACACGTAAATTAAACTTTTTCAGTTTGGTCGTTTAGATTTGAAACATGCTATATATATACTATATTATATTATTATATTTATATGTTAAAGCAAAATCATGTTTTGATCTGATGATCAATTGTTTTCACCCGCGAGTAACCCGGGATTACTCACGTGGGGGTCTAGTGCAGGTACATCCACGTGGGGGTCTAGTGCCAGGAGTACCCACGTGGGGGTCTAGTGCCGGGAATACCTACGTGGGGGTCTAATGCCGGGAATACCCACGTGGGGGTCTAATGCCGGGAGTACCCACGTGGGGGTCTAATACCGGGAGTATCCACGTGGAGATCTAGTAGACCCCCACCATTAGCAAATCTTTTCTAGTTTCGTCTAGCTTCGTGACGAGTTGTTTACATTCAGCGTCTCAGTTTTCCTTAATATCTTCGACCTTTTTCATAGATTTACGCAGTACTGTAGGCTTACTCCAAATATTAGACCCCCACGTGGACATCTCCGGGACCAGACCCCACGTGGGTAATCCTGACACTAGATCCCCACGTGAGTACTTCCGGCACTAGACCCCCACGTAGGTACTCCTGGCACTGGACCCCATGTGGGTGTACCTGCACTAGACCCACACGTGGGTAATCCCGGGTTAAAGCGGAGACAAGATAACCAAGAGTCTACTACCTTTTTTGTAAACTTTTTTTATTATAAAAAGGATTTTTATTTCCATAAATCAGGTATCGCGAATATCTATTGAATTTTTCAGGCAACAAAAGAACGATTTAATCTGGCGATCATTTCTCCAAGAGGTTAATTAATGCGTATATCTATAGGTACATCAATGAAGCTAAAGGACCGATAAAATAAGGAGTCACATTGAAATTTTTCGCGCGACATAAATATGGCCGGACGCATTTACATTTTTATCGAATCTCGGCTCTACGTATACGTGAAATAAAGCTATCGTATAGTGCACGACGAAACGATAATGCCGTGGGACGTGTACAGCTGTACACGAGGGTGATCCCGGGCTTGAAATTGAAATTAAGTGGTTGTATTTCGTAAAACACGTGCTCTAGTATCGACGTTACACCATACGTGCTCGCGAACGTACTTTTCTTTTTTTTTTTGGAATAATCCATTACGTTCGTAATCGTTTAATATTTCAGTATTTCTAATTACATAAGAGCGTTATAATTTTTACTCGAAATATCGGTCGGCATAGTTTTGCAGAAGCATATTTTCTTTATTTTGTATTTTGTTTGTATACGTAAATTTATCACATTCCATTAGATTTTTAATAAAATCCTTAGATTGTTTGAAAGCATTTATTGAAACGAAAGAATGTAAATCTATACGATCTGTATAAATTTCGTCACTCCAGATCAATAAATTAGATACTACAGAAAATGATGATTATTGGAATTACTTATATGTTATTCTTATTTATGAAACTTGTGGAAATACATCATTTCTCTTTTGACAATTGAATATTGATCATGCAGTTTGAAGTTTGAAAAAAATTAACAAAAGAAATAAAGTTGATCAGTTTACTTACATTTTCCCGTAGAATGTAATCTCGTTATGGCTGCATAATAACCTGCGATAAATATTGATATTAATGATTGAAAGCAACTGTATATATTTTATATAATAAATTGTATAGAATTGCGCAAGAAACAGGTAATTCCCAGAAAGATAGAACCGAGTGTATCGTTGCGAATCGGGGAGAAATCAAAATTCCCCGAGGGCAGTAGTTAAATCTCCAAGCAACAGACAACATTGTATCTATAAAACACTCACGTAGAGTGCTAAGAGACTATAGATTTGAAAGAGGCCACCTGTTTCTAACAACCACGAAATAATGACCCGGCAGAAATGAGAATCTTTACGTGCAAGGCTATCCACGTGATCGTTCTCTAACGCTGTTACATTCACCAGACGAAATTTTGTTCTGTAGTTTGTCGTTACTTTATGAGCACATCAGTCAGAGTTAACGCCATTTTTTTTATAGATACAAGATCTTTAGAATGATATCATGGTATTACAGATAATATAAGAATTTATATTACAAAAAAATTTAAGATATTTTCTTTTTGTATTTTACATTATTTCTGATCAAGATTAGTAACAACATTAACTCAAATTAAGTAATATAGTCCAAAATTAAGTAATATAAATCCATGATAACGTTAACATGATGTTTTCAAATAATAGCTTCTAAGAGTTAAGAAGAACGAGCATCTGACTTCATTTCATTGAGAATTTTTTTAACATAAATTTTTAACTAGTAATAATGCTATTGAAAATAATAAGAATCAGTATGAATCACAAAGAAAAATTAACGTATTGAGCAATCTTGATATATCAATAAAATTTTGTCTGGAAAAAATCCGGTTTCTTCTAATAGTTACACAAATTCACAAAATAACCGCAAATGACTTAACGAACTTCTTTTGTACATTTCTGATCAAACATTAGAAAGTTCTGAACATCTTCCTTCAACGCCTGCAAGTTTCCTTGTATAATTTCGATATGAATGTTTAAACAGTCTTTCACGTTGAAATATTTGCGCGCATATATGTTGCTACATACATCGATAACTACTTCAAAAATAACAAGTTCAGTATTTTAAGTCATAACTCGTGAAAGTATTTTCTATGTATTACACGGAACATTTTAAAATTTTGTTGTGTCAATTACATTGATAAAATTTAAAAATGTATGTAAACATTACAAAATTCACTGCTAAATACCAAATTTACTAATACAATAAATAATTCATTATTTAAATTAAATTATTTTATAGTCTCTTGAGATATACATTTACACTAAATATGTAGTTTCTATGCACATTTTCAGGTTTCTTTTAAACTTTACCAGTATGACCATGACAATTCTCATTAGAGTGCTAATGAAACTTTAAAATACTAACTCTAAAATACTATATTTGTATAATAAAAATATAATAAATATAAATTAAAAATTAAACACAATATTTACGATACAAATAATACAATATAAAAGTATAAATGATATACACAATATGCAATATACAATAGAAATTATTGTATTTCTAATAAATATAATATATACAATAGAATTAAATATAATAAATACAAAACATACTTTATACAATAAAGACTCTGTTAATATATTAATATATTATCACATATTGTATATATTTTGTACTATTGTATTTTAATTGTATTTAATTGTATTTCAATATAATATATGACAATCCACGATAAGTATTGAATATTAGAAATAAAAGTGTGCTAAGATTTTTGAACGAGTGTATATACATGTACATAATATGAAGAGAATTTCTATAAGAGTTCAAATATTTTCATAAATTATTATTATATCATAGCTATTAATAATAATAACAATTAAAATACGTATATTCATACATTGACGTTGAAAAATTTATAACCATAAATTTCTTCATAAATACTTCATTTGTAAAGACGTACTATAATTATAACCTAATAAGCAGAAATTAATACAAATTTGATTTATCTTACCATTTACCTTATGCGATGAAAATGATATACGGCAGTTATTAACAGTAATTTGATCAAACAGTCTTTTGAAATCACTATTTATTAACATTTTATTCGTATGTTATACATCCGCGCACTACCTATGCACTTCACGCGACCGATTCGTTTAGCAATATTTTTCCCATGATCCTCTATGATTTCTTCATAGATACATCATTCGTCAAAATACGATATAATTATAACTTTATAAGCAGAAATTAATACAAATTTGATTATCTTATGCGATGAAAATGATATACGGCGGTTATTAACTGTAATTTGATCAAACAGTCTTTTGAAATCACTATTTATTAACATTTTATTCGTATGTTATACATCCGCGCACTACCTATGCACTTCACGCGACCGATTCGTTTAGCAATATTTTTCCCATGATCCTCTATGATTTCTTCATAGATACATCATTCGTCAAAATACGATATAATTATAACTTTATAAGCAGAAATTAATACAAATTTGATTATCTTATGCGATGAAAATGATATACGGCGGTTATTAACTGTAATTTGATCAAACAGTCTTTTGAAATCACTATTTATTAACATTTTATTCGTATGTTATACATCCGCGCACTACCTATGCACTTCACCGATTCGTTTAGCAATATTTTTCCCATGATCCCCTATGACTTCTTCATAGATACATCATTCGTCAAAACACGATATAATTATAACTTTATAAGCAGAAATTAATATAAATTTGATTATCTTATGCGATGAAAATAACATACGGCGATTATTAATAATAATTTGATCAAACAGTCGTTTGAAATTACTATTTATTAACATTTTATTTGTATATTATACATCCACGTATTACCTATGCACTTCACGCGACCGATTCGTTTAGCAATATTTTTCCCATGATCCCCTATGATTTCTTCATAGATACATCATTCGTCAAAACACGATATAATTATAACTTTATAAGCAAAAATTAATATAAATTTGATTATCTTATGCGATGAAAATAACATACAGCGATTATTAATAATAATTTTATCAAACAGTCGTTTGAAATCACTATTTATTAACATTTTATTTGTATATTATACATCCACGTATTACCTATGCACTTTACGTGATTGATTCGTTTAGCAATATTTTTCCCATGATCCTTTGCACAATTTGTCGATACCAGCGCCAGTTCACGAAAATCAGTATTGGAAGCGTCGGTGCGTGATAAAAGACGTAAAATTTTCACGTTGTTTCTTTTACGCCGCGTTTAATTACCGCTTGAATACGTAACAAACAATTTTCCGAACAAATGATAATGCATGTGTGTAAAATGCCGAACAATAACATCGGAAATCGAGTAGATGAGGGTCAATTAATTTTTATATCTGTACTTCGAATGAGTGAAAAATTTGTAGAAACACGCAAAGTTTTTTCAGTACGTCGCGTATATAGACTATGTTTATTCAAGTACAATACAATCTATTATAAAATGATTCGAAACGGAAGCATTCATAAAAATGTTAGGTTGAAGCAAACAAGTAACATACCGTGTACTGTGCAGTGCAAACGTTAGAAATCATGAATTCTGTTTACTTACAAACGTCATTTGTTTTTTGAATATGAAAACGAAAGAATGGCAAAAAATAGCCGTGATCAGTGCGAGATTGTTGGAAAAGTTTTTGTTGCTCGATGACGGTCGTTAAAATCTACTGTATGATTTTTCTTGAGTTTAAACATTGAACATTTTAACGATACGTGAAAATTGCTTGAATTTGTTTAATGAAGTGTAATAGTTTTATACACGAAGGTAAACATTAACATTAATTAAAAAAATAATTTTTCATCGTAGAAAACATATAGAATACATATGTGTGATATATATATTTGTATAAATATAAAAATATATAATTATAAAATAAAATTTGGTAAATTATAAATATTGTATAATATATACATATATATATATATATATATATATATATATATATATATACACATATATATACATATGTATATAAAAAATAATTCAAAATCGTGAACGCTGCGTTCTATTAATAATCTTCCAAATTTTTAGGTATTTCGTTGATTCGATGAGAAGTAAGCTGATTCTGGAACAAATCGCCTAAGTTTTGCTTTCCTGGCCGTCTCATATTCTCATACATCATACGTAAAGTTACTTTGCCAGTCTTCACCAGTAAGTATCACCATTCATTTCATTCCTTTATTTCATTCGTTTCAATGGTTTATTTTCAATATCTATTGTTTTCGTTGAAATTATAATCATTCGAATTATAATCCTTGCATATGTGTATATCGTTTAATGAAAATGTTTAAATTATTCATTTTTTTTAAATTATTCATTCAGTTTAAAATGTGCATCTATTCGTTGAACTAATATGAATATTTCCTCTAAATTAATGGTGTTATTAAGACTTGACTAAATTAATGTTTCATCAAACACGTTGAGAAATTGCAGCAAAATATTATGAGGAGTTCGCAGTACTGAGGTTGTTAATATTGTACAATATTATGTTTTTGAATAGTTAATGTTTAGTAACATGGACGTAGAGTAATTCTGAGAAATGTTAGGTACGTTAAAATACTTATTTGCATAATAGATTCTACAATATAATATTACAGCGTGATATTAAAGTAATTTGCTTCGTCGAAATTATTTACAATAATAGTGTTACTTTTTGTTGTTGTAACTATCGATTCCAAAAACAAATTTGTGAATCGATTAGTAACAACTGCTGAGATCAAACAGTTTTAGTGATGCACATGCTTGTCAATCAAATTATTCGTTCGCATATTGATGGTCTCATTATTATTCATATCGTTATTTCCGCAACAATTTCGTTCAATAATTGTGCCTTTGTTTCATTAAGTAGGAAGTTGATTATGCTAGACTGAATATGAAACTAGGTGAAAATTTGTTTAGGGTGACAAAGAATATTATACACGTATATTACACACAACAAACATTCAACATTTTCCTGTTGACTACGTAATGGAAGATGCATTTAATGCGTAAAACAGAGAATTATTAATAATTAAGCTCAAACGTTACCAGTTCTCATGAAAGCGACATATCATAACGATTACATAATGAAACATTAAGTGGCTTTAATTTCTCGTTTCGTTAGTTTTGATTTTCCAGTTCTTATTTCGAGCCATGGAATATCTCTATTTTGAATTTCGGATATGTTAAAAATCTGTTTAATATTTAATATTGATGGTGTCGATTTGATACGAACGCTAAGTAAAAAGATTCTAAGCTCAAGAGAATAGGGGGAAAATACCCTATTCGTAAGATCATTATTTCAAGCTTTTGCTTATCTATGGTGAACGGACTATATTGGTTTATCGATCAATCAGTCGACCTATATCCTACGCGTTATTATTTATTGATTTCCGGCCTTCTCCGCCAAAAATAGTATTCTGTATCGTTAAATTTGTTTCTCACAGCTATCGGAGGTATCGAAGTTCCAGATTCGTATTTATTTGCGTCTCGAACGTTCATCATTTTTAGTAACAGAATACGCTAACGTAATTTATGTATCAAAAATCTAAAGAAATTTCATTTCATCAGTCGCGAGATGTCGATGTTACGGGCACCGGGTTTGAAATATTTATTAATTATACATTTATTCGTCGAGCGTTTTATTCGCCAATCAGAAAGTTAATCGCCAATCAGAGATCAGCGGGCATGGAATCGGTGATTGGACGGCGTGAACGGACGATTACATTTGAAAACGGGACTGGAAATCGATAAAATTTCTCGTGCCTGTAACGAGCGCAATTATCTTCGGACGTCCTGGAATCGAAATATCGATTACACCTTTAAGTAAAAGCCGTGAGTCATGCTGTTGGTGTGTTTCTCGCCGAGGCTCTTGACGTCAAGCACACTCGCTCGTCGAGCGGCTCTGAAACAGCAATAGATGTCTCGTATAAGTGCCTCCTCGCATCTTGCAAGACAGAAAAATGAGCAAGAAGAGACGAGTTATATGCCGCAGGCAACTAAGTTCCGCTGTTTTATTCTTACCACAGCGGTGGTTTTACGTGTTGGGCGAGTTGCAGGCAAAACCTCTCCACATGTGACGTCCAAATATCGCGAAATGTCATTTTCATTTAATCCGGGCAAGCTTCCAGAAAGTACATCTCCCGATTAAATGACGAAAGAACACGTTCCCTTCTATCTCGAACAGATTCAATCGTACTGTCGGGAATTCTTTACAGATTTGTATATATTACTACGCTTTCTCTTGCGCAGCGTAACAATACACATCGTTTCTTAAATTTCTTTCTGCATTGTCAGTTTCATAAATCAGTCCTTTCTCTTCTCCTCTCGAACAACGAATCGATGTATCTTCGATATTCTACAAGCTTCTATAACATCTAACGTTCAATGCTCGTTACTTTTTCATTCCTACCTACTTTTCCGTTCCCACTGACACAATTCAGAACTACGTTGGTAAGCTTCGTGCCATACGTTTCAACTCTTCTTTATTCCTATCACAGACAAACGGTAAGAATCGATACCGTGCTTTGTCTTCTTCAACCCCATTCGATGGCAACGTGTTAACATTCGGTGTGACTATAACCGAGCATTGACGTAACCGTTACCCCATCAGCTACCAGGCCAACTATTCTTATCTTCTGGTCCGAGTTCGACCCTATCGTTCGCCCGGGATTCCCTTCGAATCCCAAGATCAATCCTGTCGATTATTCCTCTGAACGATTATTCCTCGCCCTGCTTTCCTCCAACGTTCGTATTCTCGGGATCCACCAGCACACTATACCACGAAACGCAATATTTCCTGGAGACAGTCGCGTGCGTACGACCATCGGTGCCGGTGGTTTATTCGCGAGCGGTGAATACGTATACGGGTTGGGTATCTGTGGGCTGGGAAGACTACCAAGAAGAGCAATACACGCGACCGGAATAACTTCGCATCTCGACTGCTGAGTCCAAGATTGGACCCATAGGGTCTAGAGAACCTGTTATTCCAACTTTTCTATTTAAGCGAACTGATTTATTGGTCAATTATCAACCCTCCACTGGGAACAGTAACTTCGCCTCCCTCGGAGAGGAAGCTCTTTTCCTTTCATTCACGTGACTAGTCCCTCAATTTTTTTTATGTTTTATGGATGAGTGTCGCTCGCGTTTATTTCCTTGACTGACGTCAACGCTGGAATTATCGACGACTGAAACCTAGAACTTCCATCAGAGGCATTAAAGTAAGAAAATAGTGAAACATTAAAGTGCAATTTAAGATACAAGCTTTCGTTTATCTATTGTACAGTGTTTCACACTGTCTATAAAATTCTTAATAAAAATTCTAGTTGTAAATTGATTATTTCGACCTCTTTGATAGTTCCAATGTTAATAAATACTGTAAAGAGCATAACTCGACATAATTATGAAAAATTGTTGAATATCTTTCAATTGTACAATCCACTTGGTCTCATTTTAGAGCGTAAAGCTTTCACTCTGACTATCTTGAGTTGGTTTATTTCAAAGATGTTTCTACGCAGCGGAGAAGAAAGTACTTTTATTCTTAAAAATTGTAAAAATTCAAACATCTGTTAAAAACTTGTTAAAAAAATTTTTTTTTTTGTAACTTGATCCATCATAATTTCGAAAATTGGAATTTTTTATTTACAACGACCCTTTAAACTTTACTGTACGATTTTTCTTTTTTTGCAATTTTATTGAATTTTATAGGATTTTTTGAGCGTTTGTCGTTTAATTCTAATGTTCAAAATTCAATAAAATGACGAAGAAAAGTCGTACAACAAGTTCGAAGGAATCGTTGTAGAGGGGAAACTTTAATCTTGAAGATCATCACAGATTTAGTAAGTTAAACAAAACTTTTCGCTGTGTTTTCGGTGCGTGTTGAACGTTTACAATCCTTTTTAAGGAAAAGAACTTTTCATTTGCTACGCATGATGTTAAAATACCTTGGAAAGGATTCACAATAGTCAAAATAGAAGTTCTGTGCTTTAAAATGAGATAAACTATATTGTTACGAAGTTATAACAATCTAAAGTATCGATAATTTTTCATTTAAATTAATTGCGATGCAAAACTGACTTCGCGGAAACAATTTCTGCCAGAAATAGTAACATGGTGATAGAATTTTCTTGGGTGAGCCAAAATATCCTGCGAAACACCGCATATTTTTACTTTCTTTTCTATTCTACATACAAATACTCGGTAAAATATTTTTTTGTGTTAAAATTCCACATGTGAGTTCACTTCGCATTGTATGTTCGAATACACGCGTAACTTTTTGTTTTGTCTTTCAATGAAGTTTTGATGGTGTAGGTGGCTCTTTGATTCGCGAATTTCTCTGACCGAAGGATCGAAGTTAAAAAACATCAGAATTGCAGAGGTGACAAAGAGACGAAACGACTTTTCGTAGCAAAGGAAGTGCTCGCGGTGTAGAAACCTTTTCCATATTGTCATCTCGAAATGCCCGAAAATGTGCTCGCTCGTGTTTTCGCAAGAAACGCGATTATAAAGCTGTATTTCAATCTTTTTCCTTCCTTCTGTTCTTTTCTCTTTCCTCCTTTTTCCATTCGCGGTCTCGATACTGTTATTTCAATGAACGTCCGCGAGATCGGCAATTCTTGCAGAAACGTTTTAACAATTGTAGCTCTTATTACCAGGGGACAAAGGCCAGCCATGTTGAACCATTACCAGCCATTAACTTTTAACTTTTTCTCGAATCACGTTGCCGATAAGAGACGGATTTTTGTGAATAACAAAAGTAACGGCACAGTTGATATTTAAAGTTCTTTCAGTGAATGTTCGTTTTTAAAGATATTTAATAAACAACAGCGTGGATTTAAAAGGGACCGGACAGTCCGATGGGCCTAAAAATTACGTATACTTTAAAGGACTAGTAAAAAAAAAAAACTACATACTTGGTTGACATGAGCTTTTGTGGTTTATTTTAATACATTATGAACTATAAAAAGCAACATTAAAAAAGGAAAAAAAAGGCTCTTATTTAACTTTTTAACGGCATCTTTTTAACTTAACTTTTTTTTTACATTGCAAAAGTAAACAATATTCTCTAGAGATTGACGATCCAACATTTTCATTTCTGTGAAAATTATGAAAATAGCATCTATTTGTTTTTGATGTGTCGAATTTATGCCAAAAACTTTCTACGTTTTTTTTGT